AAATAATAAAATTTTGGTATAAATTTTTTTTTAAAAAAAAAAAAATTGTTTAGGCCCGCCCAAGCCCGAGCCTGAGCCTAAACCCAGGCCCATCGACTCAGCCTACCCAAGGCCCGAATACCCCTTAGGCCTAGGCCTAATTTTCTAATCCGTGGACTGGCCCGACCTGAATTTTGACGGGAGCCTACAATGCCCGATATAGGCTGGGCCCGGGTGGGCCAAATTTACACCCTTATATAAGGGTCCGATGGGTCAAAAGAAACAAAAACAACTCAAAACAGTCAAATATCCTGTTTGGCCGCCTAGGCATTGGAATTAGAGATGGCAATTTCAACCCGGCCCAACGGGGACCCGACCCTCTGACCCCGAATCGAACGGTTTTTTTCCAAAAAATACTCCCAACAAGCCAAAAATGGTATTTAAAACTAAATTCCTGATGATATTCAGGCCGGAGATGAAGATACATTTTCCAACCCCGGCCCCGTCCCCGTTCCCGTTCAGTCCCCCGATCTGTTTATTTATATATAAGTATTTATGTGATCATGTTTATTTATATATTAGTATATATGCGTGTGTTGTGTGTTTATATATATATATATGTGTGTGTGTGTGTGTGTGTTCACCCAACAACATAACAGTGGCCTCCCCCTCTCTCTCTCTCTTAGAATATATGCGTGTGTTGTGTGTTTATATATATATATATATATATATGTGTGTGTGTGTGTGTTCACCCAACACATAACAGTGGCCTCCCCCCCCTCTCTCTCTCTCTCACACACACACTCTCACGAGCAACCGTAGCTCTCCCTCATCGCCAGCTCCTTCTCAAGTTCTCACCGGCAGCTCCCTCACCGCCGGCTTCCTCTCATTCTCACCGCCGACTGATCTCCCTCACGGTATCTTCGTCTCACTTTCTCTCTCATGGATCTCCTTCTCTCTCTCTCTCTCACGGATCTCCTTCTCTCTCTCTTATTTTTGGTTTTGTTCTTCAGATCTGGAAAATGATGGAGATGAAGATGTTGATGAGCTCAGATCTGTTGGAGATGTTGATGTTTGAGCTCAGATTGTTGATGTTGTTGTTGATGAATTGTCTTTTTTTTTTTGGCCGGGGATTTTCGGGGTCGGGGAAACCCAATCCCCGTTAGGGGGCGGGGGCGGTATTGCAACCCCACACCCCTGCCTTGCTACTACAGGGGATCGGGGCCGGGGTCGGTGGAATTTCTACCATCGAGGATCGGGGACGGGAGGGTGATCCCAGCCCAGCCTCGCCCCGCCCCGTTGTCATTCCGAATTGGAATTAGGCCGCACGAGCAAAGGGCCAAGTAGAATGTACTCAAGGTTCGCCACACGTGCGCCAGCCTTGGTTGCACGTGCGATGGTTGGCCGCTCGTGCGGTGGCCTAGGACGTATGAGTTGTGGCTCAAGTTAGGGTGAATTAGGTCCTGCAAGCTCATGTGGTCGATGGTGGCTGCTCGGGCGCCTAACAAGCAAAAATCTGGGTTGAAGGTGTTCCTCAAGTTCTAAAGTTTCCTAACTTCAATTTCTTCACCTAAAAGCCTCAAAACATGATATATGATGTACTAAAACATAAATAAATGATGCATGATTCATAGAAACTCATTTGTATGCTAGGATTTCAAGAATACACTAACCAAAAATAAGATTTGATCCAAGAACTCTTTTAACTTTGTTCCTTCTCATACTTCTCTCATTTTCTTCATTCAAATCTTTCAAAACATGACGTTTGAGGCTTTAAAACATGAATATATGATGTGGATTTTGTAGAAAAACATTCATATGCAATGAATTCAATGCTAGAGCAAATCAAAACATGATTTTCTTGCAAATTCTTCCATCCTATTTCCCTTTTCCAAAACTTTCATCAAAACTCTAACTTTAATCCTTCAAAATCTGTCTTAAATGATTTTCTAACTATATTATAACCACAATACATGAAAGGGGGTTGAATTCCTTATCTTGTAGTGAATTTTCATTTCTAGATTGAAAGCTTGAATTCTTTTTTATCTTTGTTGATTTCCTCTATTTTCTCCTTCAAGAACACTAAACTCCTCTAATTATCAAGAATTCTCTCCAAGTCTCTCTAAACTACTCTTTAATTGTAGGAATTGATTAGCTTAAGTCACTAATTGTCCCATTAGCTTAATTAACAAAATTTAGTTCTAATTAACCACACTTAATTCTTAATCTTCATTAGTCTAATTAATACTATTTAGATTTTAATTAATCCCACTTGACTTTTGCTAATCCCACTTAATTTTTAATTAAGTACTCATTAGATTTTGCTCGTTAGACTAAGACCATTAAGCTCCTCACTTGAGGTTTTTTAAGTCATCTAATTGTTCAATTTTCAAGTTTAAGACAGATTTTCCTAACTCTACATTGTCTTCCTAATTCTCAAGCCAAAGTTGCACATTCTAATTATTGTAGGCTTCTTAGGTTTTCTCTCAAGTACATGCTTTCTAAGGCATTCCTATTCTTATTCAATAATCTTAAGTCCTCTTCTAAACTAGCATATCACATATTCAACACAAGATAACATAATCAAATTCTCAATATGAATAAATGTACGAATGCAATGCATTGTCACAATTTGTGTCATTTGGATAAACTTTCAAATGAAAAATAAATATTTGGATAGAAATTTCCGAACGATACATATTGTCTGTATTGGGATTATGGTTCAATAGTGAAGGATATTAGATCCTTGGCAGGTAGAGCTTGTGTGTCCTTTAAATGGTGTCCCAGAGTAGCTAATATTGGACAGCTTGTGCGTGCTTAGATGAGGTTTTGCCATTGAATTGGGTTTCTTGCCTCCCAATGGCTCTTGTTAATACTATTTCTTTCAATTCTAAGTAATTGGAGTTGTTTCGATCCAAAAAACAAAAAAGAGAGAAAGTGTCCTGATAAAATAGAATTAATATAAAATCTGGTTATGGAAATTTGGAGAAAAATACCCCGTCTATTCCTTTCTTCCTCGTCTCTATTTCTTTTCACTTAGCAAGTCTAGTTACCTATAACTCACCATTAGCTACCATTGCCATACCCTCCCCTGCTATCTCCAACCCCTCCACTTTTGCCTCCTACCATGGTTACCACTTCAACTCTTTCCACCACACCCTTCACTTCTCGCTAGTCCAATCCCTTCCCACCCAACACAACAATCTCATCTCCACCTTAATCTCTATTGCAACCCCACACCCCTGCCTTGCTACTACAAGACGTGCTTGGTGCTAATGTCACACTTGTCACTTGCACCATAAATTATGTGGGGGTTGTCACACTTGTCACTTGCACCATATACATAATGCATTTGTACTGGGCACAAGTGGTACTTGCACCGAATTCATTTCACCAAAGTGGCTAAGGGATTTAGGTAGCTGTAATAGCTAGGGATTGAGTGGCCCAGGCTAAGAGTGGAAGTGAGTGTTGGGAAATGGTAGGGAAGATGGTAGTAGTGGTAGGGATGAAGGGAAGGGTTTAGGGAAAGGTTGGAGAGGAGCTGGGGATGGCAGGTAATGAATTAAGGGTGGCGGAAGAAGGTATGACAGTGCCGGCTAGTGGCAGGTGGTCAAGGACCTAAGATAAGGCAAAGAAGAGGGAAGTTGAGGGTAAATTTTATCACAGTTGCTCATTCCATATCCTTTCAATTAATTTTCAAGATTACATTTCTTGCGTAACTTTGAGAAAATATGACACCAATTTACAATTATTTTTTTGCTATTTTCTGCGGGGGAAATGCATGGAAATCCCCATGAATCAAAAAGATTAGGGCAGAGCAAAGAAACAGAAAAATTCACAAACTAAACTGATCCAAAAGGTTTGGTTTGATTTTTTTAATTTATCGTTCGTTCCTAGTTTGAAAAATTGGAGAACCGGTCTTTGCGGATTGGTTTCGGATTTATGTTCATGGTTACAAATTGGTATTGAACCGGATCGTATAACTTAAATCATATATATTTATTTGTTAAATATTATGTTTATTTAAGTTAATGATAGAACAATATATATATATATATGTTTATATTTTAAAAGTTTATGAGATTAATGAACTTAATGGACATATCATTATTTTTAAAATTTATTATAGCTTGATTTTTTTTTAAAATGTGATATGATTTTTTTTGTGAAGAGATTATCTGAAACAGTGATTCCAAACCAAACAAAATTGTGTTTAAATAATTTGGTTCGAATTGATTCCATAATTTTAATGGTATTGGCTCTGATTTCATCCCAAACCGCTACAAACCAGACTATGCTCATCACCCGTACAAAAGATCATATACATGCTCATCTCTACAATAGATCATATACATACTCATCTCTACAATTATTTCCGAAACTTGGGACGCTAATGCAGTACATAAAAGGAATGGATAATTGAAATTCAGAAGAAATTTTTATTGATAAGAACCTGTACGGAATAGTTATGTATCGGTATGTATTTTCTTTATGTCATGTCATTAGGAAAACAAAAATTAAGATTCAAATTCAAGATTCATTCATGAACTCACAATCAGCAGTCAATAGTTAATGGTTCAAATTTCAAATTTGTAATGAATTCGGACTTCTGTGACTGAAAAATGTTTGATCTATCAATACAAGCAGAATCAACTAGACTTCTGCTAAAAAAGAATCAACTAGACTTGCAAGTTAGTATTGCATAATATCAAAAAAAGATACGCAAAAAAGAATATTTATATCAACAATGCTAGGTAGCTCAAAATTTTGTAGCTCAAATAGCTCAAATCACTCAAAACGACGTCGTTTTGAGTATAAATGAGTGTAAAATGACGTCGTTTTGATATATTTGAGCCATTTGAGCCACAAAATAAAACGACGTCGTTTTGACATATTTGAGCCATTTAAGCCATAAAATTTTGAGCTACCAAACATTTCCTATTTATATATGGAAAATGTCTCGTAGATCAAATTTTGTGGCTCAAAAGTGGCTCAAATGGCCAAAACAACGTCGTTTTGGCCATTTTTATGTTGTTCTGTACTCAAAACGACGTCGTTTTGGCCATTTGAGCCACTTTTGAGCCACAAAATTTGAGCTACGTAGCATTGTCGTTTATATATTGTATTACAGCCCACAATCATTCTAAAATAAGCAGGTAAAAACATTTACTACTTTAAGGTAGGTGAGGGGTCATGAATCACGTATCATGATTTGCGCAAACATTCGCAAGGTGTGAAGGATCACCACAAACAAAGCACCTTCGACCAGATATTGGATCACCTGTTGCTGACACGAAAGTCGTGTCAACAGCACGTCCACTCCGGCCTCCTCTGCCACGGCCACCCCTTGCTATGGTATTGGATGCTGAGCTGCTGACATTTGCACGCGGAACACTTCTTCCCCTATTACTGTTGTTGAGGCTATCCTCCCATCTGCATTGTGAGGGACCAAATCAAAGTTTTAAATTGTGGAAGCAGACTTCTTCATCCCCATTAAAACAGATACAAATAAAGGAAAGTACTTTTGGCCAATTGGTATCTTTTTTAAAAACTGTTTTCATGACAGTTTTGCTTTGATTAAAAATGGGGGGATGGAAACATGGGAAGAAACATATAGTTCATATCAAGTAATATTTTATGCAAAAACTACGCAAATACAAGTCTAGATTGACCTACGCAAAGAAGTTGCAGCCCTGTGATTGACACGAGTAAAACTTTCTTCCTCTGTTACTTTCAGTATTCGCAGTACACAAAATGCATGGTGTACCACATGTATCACAAGGAATTGAAGATTCTCCTGCATTATCTGAAGGCATTATAAGATAAACCACGTATGGACCTCTCAATAGCGATGATAAAAAAGCTACTCTACACTATTCAACTCATGCGTAGAGTAGTCAACAATGGTTAGAAGCTTATGTGATAATTCAGTTCAGAATCTCTCTTGAAGAAGATGAGCTTTTGTGCCTTTGGGGGACGTGAGCAAAGCACAACTGGCACAAAGATACCCTAATAAGTCGTGTAACTCATTCTACAAGAAAGCAACTAGCCTCTTCAGGCATCAAAATATTAAAATTTTTGGTGCCAATTTCTGATCCTGGTAATTTCTGTCTAAGCATGCATAAATATTTGGATGCCTGCTCACACATCTCCCTGGATGTATTTGTCGTGCAAGTCCTAATTTGATCATATAACGTGGAACATTAATTTCTAGTGATAAGGGACAATAGAATTTACAGAGATCTTACCAGATTGCTGGTTCATTCCCTGAGATCGAGCCCTGGAAGAGCGAGAAGTCTGTGAAGGACAGTCATTTGAAGAATGCCCATATTGCCTGCAGTGTGTGCAAGCAATCTGCCTCGAATTACTACGTTGGACACTGCTGGAGGATGTAGCAGTTCCTTGACCACTTGCTGGAGAAAATATTACATTACTCAGAATTCAGATGGTGGTTGATTGCAAGAAAAGATATTAGAGTTTCTATAGATAGTCTCTCTTATGAGCACGTGAGTGCATAAGACAAGATTCAATTTGTAACATCTTTTGCTGTCTAACATTGTATAAATTTTTCTTGTAAAAATTCTTGGCAAAATATCAAATTAATGGGAAATGGGGGAACTAATTGCACATCAATCTGAGTGCGAAGTTTTTATTGATTTGCAATCAGTTTCACATTTATCAAATATTCCCCAAAAATTTTTTCAAATCTTTTTTTTAAAAAGTGTTTTACCTGTATTGAAAACATGCAATATTTTTCTTAAGCCAAATTTATAATTTGTCTGAAACAGCATAGTTTCTATCCTGAATTTCTAACAAAATATCCTGCTATCAAGTTGCAATATTCATTCCAAAGAAAACAATGATAACCTTTGGTATACCATTCCGGCAGTCATACCACCATCTATTCATCCTTCACAAACTATATAGCACATGGAAATACTGTAATGTATGATTAGGATGGACTATGCAAACTATGAAGTATAATACAATATTACTTCCAAGTCAGCTAGTGTATATTATAATCAAATGTAGAAAAACATCTATTCCTTGTTTTTATCTCATAAAATTTGGAACTAGAAGGATCAGCATAGGAGTAGCATGTAGGGATGGTGTATTACTTTTAGACAATTGCATAATTTACTGGAACTATTCCTTTCAAGCATTTGTTATCAAAAGCAATATTGACGATAAAGACAGAAAATGAACATATAAACCATGAACTGGTTGTAAAATATAACATGCTCTCTTGCAATTTGTTCTAGTAATAACACTAAATAAGCATCTATTACACACCAGGTGTGCTTGAAAGATTGCGGGAACCAGGTCCACAAATTTCTACCAACTGCTTCAGAATCTCATCACAGCCTCCAATGCAACCTGACAAGATATGTAGCAAAATCAGTGTTTATCATAACTACAAACAACAATTGCCAACTTAATTAATTGAAGACTCACCAGCTAAGAAACACAAACATGGACGCAAGATACTGTGATTTCAAAAAAATGACATAGACACAGCAGGCTCATGGCAATAAATAAAAAAAATTACATATATTTTTATTTCCTATGTAAATTAATGTTACGTCGACAAACAATCAAAATTAACAAAAGTCAACATTAATTCAATCTTGAAAAAAAAAAGAAAGTAAGAACTAGACTTAAATAATTAATAAATCATCAATGAAAAAGACAAAAACGTAAGAGTTTAACATAAGACAACGAACTTATCATCCAATGCATTGTATGTTCATTACAATCTAAGCAAAAAGTGATTATACATTCAACACCCAAACATCCATCAAAAGGACTAAAGAAGAGGGGGGAAAAGTTAGTTGGCGTGTCCCATATGTGTCCATGTTAATTCTTAATCACAAAGAGAGAATTAACTGCTCGCAATTTTGAAAATGAAATTGTTGTTCAACTACAACATCCCTGGTGACTGAAATAATTTTTAATAACAAAACTACTCATTTTGAAGAATATTCCCAACCCCAAGGTGAAGAAAGCAGCCACAACCATGAGTAGACTGAAATGAAGTGTAAAAATGAAAACATTTATGTGAAGATTAAGTTCAAATAAAATTAAACGCACTATGTAACTGACAACAAGTTGAAGGGAAAATATCAATTAAATACATACAAAAAATTATGAGAAAAGAGTACTGCTTTATCATCATAAAATAAAGCCAATGCAACGATGAAATAAATCAAATCCCTATATGTCTTCGAATCCAGATATACCTAATGGTCAACATTGTAGTTTGGTGGTATCACCAGCCACCGAAACTTAAACTGAATCATGAAAAAAGTACCTGTGAAACAATTGTCTACTATCAGAACATCAAGAAATATTAAATGAGTAAGTAAGCGCCTATGAATTATTAGTATTAATTGTCAAATATTTAAATATAACAAATGAAAAAAATGACCATACAAATCAACTAGGTTGCCGCAGCGTTACCACTTTGACCCGAGTAAATTGACACTCGGGGCCCACCTAAAAAATAGACCAAACTTGAGGAAAAAATAACCATTTCCAACATAGATAACCTGGAGAGCATACGCTGCAAACATTAGTCGTAACAATTGCTTCAGCTATAGATCCAGGAAGCCATACAACATTCCTACACTGCAAAGATGTGGTACAAAATAAATTTAAGTCACCAAAGGAAAAATAAATTCTCCAAAATTAGGCAGCATAAAATTTCTCAACTGGACTCACATTAGATTTCCATGAGAGAGAGAGAGTGTAATTTGAATTTCTCCTTAATCTTGATTATTCACCCTGTCACTTCACGCAGTAATTCAGAAGCATAGAGGGAAAAAATGATGTTTGAATATGGGGGGAAAATCACCAGCTGAAGATGATAATTCAGGTAACGACTGCAAGGGGCATGGTGGTGATAAATTATAGCAAAAGAGTAGCATCGGCTGTTTACTTGGTCTGGCCAAGGAAGGTCAAAACATCTATATAACTCATTCGTCAGCAAAAGTCTAGAAATTCAATCATTTGGAAGTTCGAGGATAACAAGATTGCTCAAGAAGTTGACAATCAAAATAACAAACATTAGCTAGTTCAATCTAGTTACCAGAACCCACTCAAAGTTGCTGAAAGTAAGTGACAGGCCTCTAGAGTTTGTGCAAATGCAGAAGGCGTAAAAAATTTAAGGGAAATTTTATAAGATAGCTCCAACACCAGCTTTATTTTAACTAATCCCAAGCTTCCTAACAATATTATGAAAGCTTTTTCCATTATATTTGCTAACTAACCAGTTAACTTCAGCCTGCCAAGAATGACAAGGCTTTCTGATATTGCACAAGCTTGAAACCTGCAGCCAGACAGACCTGCAAAAGGGGCCGGAGAGGAAGAGATGCTGCAAATTTTCCTCCTCTTGACTGCAAAGTAGACAGGTTGCATTGGCAATGACTCACCATTCAAAGAACTAGTCTTTGGTTCTGGGTTTGTCCTTAAATTCCATCCAGAGAATAAAACTGTGCATAGGAATGCATTCAGCAAACCAGACTAACATGTTTTTTTAGATTTATTTTGTTTGGTTGCACTTCAGATCTTCTCCTTTTGTAATGGAAGGAATACCTTCTTAAACATGTACTTCTCTTATTTTTTTTGGTAATAAATACTCACAAAAAACAAACATTGTTTCCAAAAGAATACAAAAAGAAAAGGAAAAAGAAAGATGTACAAAATGTTAGGCTGGATTATACAGGCTACAACAAACTAAAATTTAGAAATTAACACACTATTAGAAGTATATGAAGTACCAATCGAGGACAAGATAGAAGAATGATAATCTAAGATAAGGTTGTTTGGACACACTTCCAAGATCATTGAATGGACCAATAGGAGCAATCTGACTCAAATTTAAGGTGTCAAGAGCACAAGAGCAAAGCCAAAAAGGAAGATGATGAAGGAAAATAGATAGAGCCTATGATGCATGGACACGGACACGGGACACAACACGGACACGACACGAACACGGGAAAACGCAAATTTTCAAAAAATTGGGAACACGACACGCTAGGGACACGTTCAATACATATAATATTATTTATTTATTATATGTAAAATTAAAAAATATAAATATGATTTATTTATTTTAATATCAAATATTATTCACAAATTAAAATTTTTCTATAAATAAAAATAATTTATTTAAGCAAATAATAATATCTAAAAAATAGAAAAAAAAAGAAAAGAGGAAAAAAAAAGATTTTTTTGTTCAAATATATATATCTATATTAGTATATAAATATATATTTATATATATTATCAGAAAAAGAAAATAGAAAAAAAAATAGAAGAGAGAGAGAGAGAGAGAGGGAGAGAGAGAGGGATCAACATCACTCACTATATAAAGCAAAAATAAAAAATAAAAGAACAAATAAAATCAGACACAGAGAGAGGAAGAAGGAGAGAGAGAGAGACAGCGACTGAGAGAGATCGGAGAAAAAGAAGGACAAAGAAGAAGAAGAATGAAGAAGAGCAGCGTACCTCAACAAGTGACGACGAGACGAGCTACGACGACCGAGGACCGACGACGATCGACGACAAGTGACGAGCGACGAAAAGCGACGATAAGCGACGAGCTACGACGAGCAACCATTGAAAAGTGACCAGGTCCTCTCTTCCTCACCATTTCTCTTCTATTCGCCCTTTCTCTTCTGTTCTAATCGAATTAGGTAGATATTGCTCTATTTTTATTTTTTACAAATCGACCCCAAAAAAAGTTTTATAAATTATGAAATTACCCCCGAACGTGTCCCCAAAGTGTCCAAACGTGTCCACAACATGTCCGGATGTAAAAAAATAAAAAATAAAATAGGACACTCTCTGCTGCGTGTCAGACACGTGTTCACCGCGTGTCCGTGTCCGACATGTGTCCAACACTGGTACGGAGCCCTCGAAGAGGTGTCCGTGTTTCATAGGATAGAACTGAAACTAAAGGCAAGGTTGTTAAAATCGGGATCCTACGTTAGATTGTTAGAGATGTTTACAAGATCGGATCGTAAGATCCTACCGAAAAAGGCAAATTACGTAATAATTTAATTTAAATAAGCATTTTTTAAAAAGTATATACAAAATAAGCTTACATTCTATTAAAAAGAAGTGAAGATATTGTGAAAAATATAATACTCCATGTAAAATGTACATAAAATATTATATAATAGAAAACTCGATGGTAAAAGTTTTATATTTCATCAAAAAAGATGGTGAAGAAGAAGAATTCTATAAATACTTTACAATCTACAATAATGAATAAAAAGTGAAGAAAAAATATTTAACAAAGTTAGATATGAAAATAGATTTATAACTCAAAAGAGCGGCTTAACCGAATGATAAGGTTTGTCTTCAGCATCCCTAGTGGAACGGATTCGAGTCACAAAAATAATGTCTCCAAAGATTGGGATAAAGTTGCAATCATCTTGCCCTCCTCAAACTCCGCTAAAGTTAAGTTTGTTTTTCCAACTAGTTAGTTTTCTTAAATAATCGCAATATTTAAATGTTTGTTTCCTAATTTGTTTTTCTTAATCTATTGGACTCAATACTACTTAATTTTTATTATTTATTTTGATCACATAAATCGGTATTTAGACAACAAACATAAAATTTACAATAAAATATGTTATACAATACAAAACAAGGCTTGTAAATTGGATCGGATTTGGATCGAGATCCCATGATCCTATAAGATCCTAGGGTGACATACACTAACGGTCCATATAGTTTGAGACTTGTGTCACTTTGGTCCCTGACTTTTCAATTGTGGCACATTTGACCCTGAATTTTGAATCTTGTTCCAAATAAGGACAATTGAAAATACCATTGGATTTTTCAAGGGCAAAATAGTCAATTTGATAAAATATAAACTAATTTGACAAAAATAAATGTCAAAAACATATTTTTGAATTTTTAAAAATTATTTCTATCCACTAAAGATAAAATTATGTAAAATTGATGAATCTTTTATACATTTATTTATTTAGGGGTTATTTGGGATGATCTAAATAAGTGCACTTTTTGACTTTTTATGAAATATAGGTTGGATTGAGTTGGATTTGAAGTGATGTGTTAGAGAGGTGATTTGACTTAAATAAGATGATGTAATTTAATAGGATACTGACTTTTTAACTTTTTAACTTTTTTCAAACATGTCAAACCAAGCCTTGTTTTAACAAGTTAATTTTCATTATGTGTTTGGATGCTAATCATGTAAAATTAATTTTTAAAAATTAATCATGTAATTTTTATCAATTTTATCTTTGGTGGGTAGAAATAATTTTTAAAATTTTAAAACTATCTTTTTTATATTTATTTTTGTTAAATTAGTTTATATTTTATCAAATTGACAATTTTGCCCTTAAAATTAAGTAATGATATTGTAAGAAATAATGTATAGAGAAAGAGAGAGAATAAATTGTATGTATTATTATTGATTGATATATTGATTTATATTACAATGATTCATGATTCCTATATATAGAAGAGGGTGAGTGTGTAGTAGGTAAGGAGTAGGTGAAGTGGAGGTGGTAGTGGTGTAGTGGGTTAGGTTTAGTGGAGTAGGTGAGGTGGTAGTGTTGTAGTGGGTTAGGTTTAGTGGAGTAGGTTTAAGTGGGTGAAGTAGGTGGAGAGTAGATGGATTTTAACAGATATCTTTAATTGTCCTTATTTGGAACAAGATTCAAAATTTAAGATTAAATATATCACAATTGAAAAGTCAGGGACTAAAGTGACAAGAGCCCCAAACTATAGGGACTGTTAGTATAATTTGTCCAAGATCCTAATACCAAAATCGAAAAATCCTACCTATAAAGCATTTTTTACACGATCCGAATCAATTGTTCCCAAATGGATCGTAAAATAGTGAGATCCATATCAGGATTCTGATAACCATGACTAAAGAGATAACACAAATTTATGTAGAAATCTTCATAACAAAAATAGAGATATTATTAACAAATTTTGATATGAAATTGTAAGAGATGCAACAGAGATGGCTATTTTACAGAGCAATGCCACAACTTGGGAGAAGCATGTACAATTACCCAATGCAGCACTTGGTCATCCAACAAACTAGTGCAATCTTGACAATTGCAATACTCTTCTGCAAAGAACCGAACCCTAAACTTAAAATTGCTAGTTTGTTCAAGTCAATTAAATAATACTCCCCCTGTCCCAAATTATTTGTTTGGCAAGGAAAACATGAACTTAAAAATAATGTATTCTTATATTGAAATTTATTTCACTAATTAAAAGATCTCATTAAGTACTTTTAATTTGTGAAAAAAATTAAAAATTTTAAGACAAATGCATTATTTTTAAGTTCTTTAAGTGTTAGACAAACAATTTGGGATGGAGGTATTATCCTATAAGGTTTAAGGCCTGGTTTGGCATGTGTAAAAAAAGACAGTCAAAAATTTACTCAAAAAGTTAAAAAGTTATCACTATTCACCAAAAAAAAAATATTTAAAAATTAATTTTGTATTTTACATACAAAATTACAAGTCAATCTGACCGGTTCAGATTTGTGGCTGCAATTTTTAAGAAAAATTGCACAGTTGAGGTGCAATTTTAACACACTGCTGTTCGGCCCGTGGGGCCATCACGAGTCTCGTTTTGATAATCTGAACCGTTCATTGTGTAGAACTCGTCGAGTACTATATGTCTGTAAAAAATCACATTGATCGGATATCGCTAACTACATGATCGAATCAGTTTTGTATAAAAAAAATAGATGGTGTTATAGTTAACGGTTGAAAAAAAAAACTAATCTAATCAAATAGCTATCGATATCCGGAAAAAAAACTAATCTACTCGACGAATTCTACACATTGAACGGTTCAGATTATCAAAACGGGACCTGTGATGGCCCCCACGGCTCAAACAGCACCGTCTAGTGCAATGCCCGAAAAGTAGCCAATCATTTCTTAGTATCAATTCAGCTGCGCAGATAGTACGACCGTACAACTCACACTCCTAATCTTCTCCTACACTAATTTATACAATTTTTTAATATACATTTTTCCATGAAAAGTCAAAAAGTTAACTCAAACAACCATATTTTTTTCCTCAACTTTTTAGTCCAAAAAGTCAAAAAATACACTTATTTAGGACATCCCAAACAATCCCTAAGGAGAGGGCCTTCTAAAATTTGTTATGCAAATATTGATTATCATTGTCACATGTTCTCGTTGACATTATTCCAAGTAAAGCTCCATTGCTTCTATTTTATTGTTAACCACTAGAATTTTTGGAGACATCCAACTCAAAATCAATTGGCTATAAGTTGGGGGGCCTTCAAATTATACAAAGCAAGCTTGGATGACTCAGAGAAGCGATGCAGGACACGTATCTAACACTTTCCCGCACATACAACCCGTTCGCATGTGGAGGTGACAAACAAATGCAAGGAAACAGACCCTAGGTCGGAGATTTAGCCCGAGAGACCACCGAAGACTAACTCTGATACCATGTTAGAATTTTGAATGCATCCAACTCAAAACCAATTGGCTATAGGTGGAGGGGCCTTTAAACTATATAAACCAATAGCAACCCAAGCTTGCTTCATATAGTTTAGAGGCCTCATCACTTAATGCCAACTAATTTTGGATTAGATGCATCAAAGAATTCTAACATGGTATCAAAGCTAGGTTTTCAATGGCCTCACAACCCAAGTATCTGTCCTGGGTCTATTTCTCTCATCTCTTTATCACCTCCACATACACCCGAGTCACATGTGTGGGAGAGTGTTAGAGACTTGTCTGTCACGACCCAAACCCGGCCCTATGGGTTTAGCACCGTAACCGGCCAGTAATCCGAGATTACCGAAGGCCTGCTGAAGTCAGTTATCAGTTCCGTTTAGCAGTAATCGGTAATTAACGGTAATCAATCGGTCATAAATCAGTAAACAGTACGAGGGTTGTTACATTGTCCTACAGTGCCTCTCTAAGCCAACAAAGCTTACTTCATATAGTCTAGAGACCTCTTCACTTAATGCTAGTTGGTTTTGGGTTGAATGCCTCCAATAATTATAACATTAGCTTTAATATTTTCTTAGTCATTCTCTAAATTACTTCTATTTTATAGTTTTTTGTTTTTTTTTTTATTCTTGTGCTTGAGCATATGGTGCAAGTATCTCAAACACCATGCTCTAAGAGTCTTAGAGCATGAATTGATCTAATAGTCTTATAGCATGAATTGATCATCTTCAAGCCTTCATCCCATCATTTCTTCATCTATGGTGAAGTCCTTTGATGGATTGCCAAGGCATTTGTGAAGACCTTTAGTGGATTCTAGAGGTGGTGGTCATCTCGTAAATTTGGCACTTTGGAGATTGATCCCGAGAGAGCAATGAACGTGGATTCAGCAAGAGTAACTTAAGTCCATAGAGTGTGGGTTCACCAAGGATTGTAAGAAACTCTCGTAATTGTTCATTTGATTAGTGGATTGACTTTCTGGCCTTAGGCCCATTGGTTTTCATCTCAATTGGAGGCTCTCCAATTGAGGTTTTCCATATTAAAATCGTCACTCTCTTAATTGTTTAGATTGTGATCTAGCTATGGCTTGTTCATTTGATTGGTTGAATTGATCAAGTAGTTGATGACTTGACTAGTAGATCCATAATTGTGAATCAACCTCGTTAAGGAATTTCAGGCTTTCCCAAGAAGTCTCTCGACTTTCTATGAAAAAGGGTTGATCTGTAGGGGAAGGGCACATTTTGCTGAAGAGAATTCATATTTGAGAGGGTTTTGAGGATTTGGAGGACAAGATTTGAGGATTCAAACCCCGTGGCGCCTACCAATCACTTCATCACTGCTGCATCTGCAAAGAGGCTAGCATCTAAGCTGTTATTTTCCTTGTTGTCTAGAACTAGAAGACTACCATATTCCGGTATTGTCCCTTGGATTTCAAGAACAAACATCATTTGGTGCTTAATATTGGTTCTAAGTTGAAATGTTATGCTAGAAAATTATGTTTCTTGGTTCTAGTGTCCTTAGGGGTTGTTTAGCGTGTCCTAAATAAGTGCACTTTTTGAACTAAAAAGTTGAGGAAAAAAAGATGGTTGTTTGAGTTAACTTTTTGACTTTTTATGAAAAAATGTGTATTAAAAACTTATATAAATTAGTGTGTAGGAAAAGATTAAGAGTGTGAGTTGTACGGCCGTACCATCTGCACAGTTGAATTGATGCTAAGAAATGATTGGCTACTTTTCGGGCATTGCACTGGACGGTGTTGTTCGGCCCATGGGGGCCATCACGGGTCCCGTTTTGATAATCTGAACCATTCAATGTGTAGAACTCGTCGAGTACTATATGCCTGTAAAAAATTACGTTGATCGGATATCGATAGCTATTTGATCAGATTAGTTTTTTTTCAACCGTTAACTATAACACCATCCATTTTTTTATACAAAACTGATTGGATCATGTAGTTAGCGATATCCAATCAATGTGATTTTTTACAGACATATAGTACTCGACGAGTTCTACACATTGAACGGTTTAGATTATCAAAACGGGACCCGTAACGGACCCACACAGGCCGAACAGCAGTGTGTTAAAACTACACCCCAACTATGTAATTTTTCTAAAAAAAACGCAGCCACAGACTCTGAACCTGTCAAACTGAGTTGTAATTTTGTGGGTAATTTTATTATTTTATTATTTTTTATTTTTTTGAATGAATAGTGATAACTTTTTAACTAACTTTTTGACTTTTTAACTTTTTCTAGGTATCCCAAACCAGCCCTTAATATCAGATTGTAGAAGCTGTTTGTGCTCAGTTTTTGCTATTTCTGATTTCAAGTGTCCAGGACTTCGTTGGCTGCATCCATTGCCTATTTGTTGCATCCATTTGCGTCAACTTGGTAGAAGGGCCCAATCTATTTGCATCAAACATTCTGCTTGATTTACATGATGCTACATCATATCCCTAAAAATAGTAGAGCCTTTTTTTATTGGCTAAAATAGTAGACCTTATACACCAATATTCAAAACAGCCTTGAATCCTAAAACCACCAAGTTTCATATTTATGTATACTCCTTTGCACGCAAGCTCTTTTTTCTGACAATTCCCCACATTATTAGACCAGCATGTTTTTTTCATCTCTTTACCCAGAAAAATGAAGTATTTTTCATCCACAGTACATCATATTAATTTGGATACAGCAAAATCGAAAACATTCAGCTTACGTGAGTGGATTAGACTTTTTGCTATTCATAGTCGTGGATGGTACAAAGCCGTATGAAGTGATTGATAGGCTATAGAGAACATAAATAAAGTACTACATAATCTACACAAGAAATGAAGCAATTCTATTTCACATTTCCAGATTTGCATAATGAAAATACAGTAATGTATTGCTTCATGCATGCAATTAGTAAATACAAAGTATTCAAAAGATCATCAGATGGACAACCCAACTTCAAGTCAACAATAACAACATTTTGCACAGATCAAGTTTATTTTAAGAAAAGAATAATTCATCTCATTCTCAAAGGTTCAGTGCAACATTGAATAGCTTGTCTAATATGTTAAACAGAATTCCAAATGTAGGATTTTTAATAAGTTAAAAATATCAATGGCAAAAACACCTACTTGTGGATAACCCAAGCACCCAACCATGAAATTTCCATCCTGCATAGAGGGAGCAGATTGATTAATATTTTTTTTTTTTATCAGCAAAAGAAATCTTTATTGATGAATTAGAAACCCGTACAATACAAGAGTTAAACATCAATAAAGGAGGGTGCAAAAAACATCATAGAAAGAAAAATGCCACAAGATCTAAGTTCAAAGAAAGAAAAATTCAATTTATGAAACCACAATCATATTCAAAAAAAAAAAAGCAACCAAACAAAACAAAACAAAAAGACAAATTTCTTATTATATGACGGGGGGAGGGGGGTTCAGAGGGGAGAAAGAATGAGGTAGTAGCTCGAATTTGAATAGTAAGTTGCCTGGTGATATATGAATTAGAACCTAGCAGACCAATGCCCCACAAGCCCATGGTTTGTCTTTTTCCGATAGTTTACAGGAAAGGCAGAAATAAATATCAAAGTTCATCCATAAAATGCTTTGTTGATAAACAGACTAAAAGAAATAAGAGACTTTGTACCCTAAGAAAGACGAACCAAAATGTTCAATTAGCAGCACACTTCGCATGGTACTTCAAGATATTGATCCATCTAAAATAATAAAACGAACAGTTGATTATTCCAGAAATTGACCAGAAGCATATCAGATGTATTTCAGAAAAGAAACTGCATAGCAGTGTTATCTGTTAACAATATCTATTTATGCTACATAAATGTACGTCATTTCAACTTCAATACATCTTCGCAAAACTTTTAGCAGAAATAGAACTACCCACTGCAAAACAAAGATAGTGACAAACATTTTAATTGTTTATTTACATCAACAAAAATCTAACATACAAATAGTTACCGGTTTCCGCTTAAGCACCATATCTGATTCCTGGCAAACACCACATCGCCGAACAGCATCTCCAACTGCATGCTGCTCATCTGCACCTGATCTACTATTGCTACAAACATAGCAGAAGAATTTAAATAAACTATATACTATTACGGCTGCAAATGAGCCAAGGCATGCCAAGCGGAGCTTTTTTGTGATTATGTTCAGCTCGCCTAAGTTGAAAGGGTCTTGGCTCGTTACAAAACACACAACAGCAGCTATGAAGGACAAAGAAGAAGAACAAGCCTTCATAACAAACCTTAAGCAAACATAAATTCTTTTAGTTAAGTAAAGACCAATCCAAACATAAATAGATAGATCATAGTAGAAAATATCAAAAAACTAAGGCCTTGTTTGGTTTGTATTTGAGAAACATGTTTTGAGATAAAAAGTACGAAAATTTGTTTGGTTTGATTTTTTTTCAAAAGATGTTTTGAAAAATTATTTTGAGAGAAAGTTTTAGAAAAAGTGATTGATTTGATGTGTATAAGAGAGAGATTTGTTTGGAAAATTTGTAAACCAAACAAGTTTTGGAAAAAAATTTTGGAAAAATTTGTTTGGTTTGATTACTTTTGAAAACTTATTTGTAGAGAATTTTTCCCAAAATTTTTTGAGAAACACAAACCAAACAAGGCCTAAATCTCTCTCCAAATACAAAAGGAAGGATCCTTTAGAGATTAAAAAAACTTCGAGATTTAGTGAACTTGTGCAGATTGATTTACACATATAAAAGAAAAAAGTAAAGATGAATACCAAGGAAAAGGAGAAAGAGAGATGAAGTAACTCCGCTGTGAATTGAATGAAAAAGGAGACAGTGGAATAGATAGCCAAAGAATACATAATCATCCTTCTTTCGTCTCTGCTCTCTCACTCTCTTAGTAGTGTTGACTACAAAGAGAATGCATCTCTTTTTGTTGCCTAAGACAGGTCGTAGGAAATTAGACATTTGGGGGTCAAAGATAATGATTAAACATAATTATTTTTAAGTTCAAATTCAAAGGCACCATAGATATATATCAACTCCAAGGGTATAAGTTATAACATGAAGCATATATATTATCCGTATGTTGAGACACGAACTTCCAAAAAATATCTTACGTACATTGAGAAACTAAACAATGGCATGTTTGGAAGACCCTTTGTTGTTAGGTAGCAAGCCAAGTCTAACCGAGCTGAGCTCAATCTTGCTCAAGCTCGGGTCATATAACAAACGAACCTAAAATTCAAGTTCAAGCTCGGTTCATCTATTTAGTGAACGAGCTTGAGTAATCCTCATAGCGAGCCAAGCACAAGTTGTTCATGAACAGCTCAGCTCATTTGTAGGTCAATATATTATTAAGGCCACTTGGGAAAGGTAAAGAACCACCTCTCAAAAAAAATTCCCATGGCTTCAAACAATTTTACTTTATTCAACCTTGCCTGCAAAAAACATCCAGTATAATCATCCGAAGGCATAATTATACATAATATGGAACGCATGGAAAAATTTAGAGAGTCATACATATTAGGAAAGAGAATTACAAAGAGATGATATTTGTTACAAAGCATATACCAAAACAAATATGTATCTGATTAACCATTGTGATTGTTACATGCAAAGTTTTCATTGGTCATAAAGAGATTTTATACTGTTGGAACGATTTGGTTGTATGACCAATGCATGTCATGGTACACACACCATTGTAATTATTCAAGCACAAGATAATAGCAATCAACACAGTAAATCTGTAACACAATTACATTTCATACACTAACTAAGAATATAATGAGGCCAAGAATCAAAACTCACTTCAGGGGCTCACAATGTCATCTTATTATGAGTTTTTTTTTTTTTTTTTTATAAATAAAGAACTTGCAAACAATATTGAGGCCATATTTGCATGGAAGAAATCAAGGCTACAGCATGATTTTGTTGAAATATATCAGGCATGGGTCTTCTCAAGAGGTCATGCATTAACTTACATCTAAGAAGCAAGCTTTCATCTGCTCCAAGCATGTTGACAAAACCTCAGCTTTTCTCTTTGTCCCTATGCTAACTGCTTTCATGTCATTCTCCATCATAGCTCGAAGATATGGTTTCCAAAGTTCATAACTGACAAGAAGAAAACAAAATACTTTATAATTCCTCATATTACCAGTAACAGTAGTATATGAATATAACCTACATTATGTACAGATTTGTTGCACTTGTTCTTCAATTAAAATAATACATGCTTGTGCTCTCCTTGCATGCCAATTATTTAGGCATTGTTGTGTGACATGAGGATTCACCATATCATTATAGCATGATCAATTCATTCACCACTTCTCAAAATGTTTAACTCACTGAATAATTCTTTTTCAGGACACAACAAATGTATAGGTAGTACACAATTTTTTTGTGACAGATTCATCAACAGAACCATTTCACATCAGGCAGAAACACCACAACCACTACTATGTGAAGGTATACAGCCTTTATGCCAAATCAGATGCATTCCGCCATGATATCCATATCCTTACAAGGATGTTGTAATGGCTATTAATATACAATTAAGACACTTCTCAATTTATGGTTGTACCAACTAAAAAATAATGGCTTCTATTTTCAATTAATTTCATCACGCAGCCATTATTTAATTACTTTGATTTATTTAAAAATTAAATAATAATTTCACTTCCATCCTTAAAATATTTTTAAAAAACCAATGGAATTTTAGAGGCAAAAACTGCCGAGCTTCAGACAGCATAATGAATGATGGTTGATAGTTGAGCAAGCAGTGCCATTATAACAGCTAATTATATTATTAATAATATGAAAATTTTGGAATAAATTCCTCAGGAGCAAATTGCAGTTTAAAAAATAATAATATACCAAACTATTTTTTAATGGGGCGTCTGGGAATTGGCTTTTTCAGTGAGTTTTGACTTTTTACAGAGCAGGAAAAAAGTAGAGAGAATGATTTGAACTTGTAGTGGCTTTTTGGCAAAAAACTCAAAAAACTCTGCTTCCCAAACAAGGCCTAAGTATTGAAATAAAAATCTTAACCAGTTCATGCCACAAGTGTCCACAGATTTACATAATATTTGTGATCACCTTTTTTAATATAATATCCACAAAAAGCAAATTGCTAATTGCATTTGCACTTTCCTGAAGCAAAGAACTAACATGCCATCTAAAATCATTAGTCAGGTAAGTTTAATATCTCTATACACCCATAGAAGGGTGATATTGTGCAGAAAACAAAAAACACTACTAAAAGAAATTAAGCTTAAATAATTACCCCATGTCATCATATCCCATAACTAGTGCCTCACCCTGAAACCAAATCAGATTCATAATCAGTTAAAAAAAGAAACAATATTTTGTAGGAAGCAGCACAAAGTTTAATTGCACCAAATTATCAATGCTAAAGCTCACCCACACACATCTATAACAATGGAAGAGGGTAGCATATAAGGTACTCAAAGGACAATAATGATAAATATTTATAAATAAATAAAAAAGAGGACAATAATGATAAATCTGAACAAAAACTACATCCAATCATTGCCCACAAGAAATCAATGGCTTGTATGACAAACTAAAAATACTTCCATTTTGTTTGGTGTCTTGACATTTTTAACATGGTGAACTGATGTAGACGGTTTGTATAGATACAACTCACTAAGAAACGATGATCACTGAAGTCCAAAGAGAGTCTCATGCACCCTTAGTTTACCCATTCATCTTTATGATGAGAATAACCCAAGTCAAGTAGCCACTTGGGAGCAACAATGGGTTGTGGTGAGACACTAATAAGAACAAAAGAACTAAGAATAGTTTGGTCCATGCTCGATGGTATATGACACGGTCTTGGGTAGAACTCAACTGCAAAAGCTAGCTTGTGAAGTAAGGGTGTTCTCACGTTTATACACTGCACACCCTCTTTGTACCCAGGCAACGTGGGACTTTTTCGCACATCTACATCTTGATTTCTTGATAAACTCAATTCAACATGTCATATTCATGTCCCATGTCCATATTTGTGCCTTTTGGACAAGAGAGAGAGACAGAGACAGAGACAGAGAGGAGGAGGGAGCAAGTGGGGTACATGCTCTGATGCAAATAAAGCCACAGTTTTCATTTGCACAAAAGCACAGATCCACTTACACCTCCATGTTTTTAAACTACTTTCGCATCTTCCCACTGATTTGCAATTCCCCAACAAAAAAGAAGCATGTAATTATGGGGGAAGGGGTGGGGGGTTTGAAACTACAATTAGCAGGAAGAAGAAATATAATGCACAAAGAATGGTTAATAATATTTCATATATAGTTGAACTTGTATGAACATACAAGATTGGTTGGTGAGAAACGAGTGTTGAAGTCTTTGGTGGCATAAAATCGATCAAGCAGCTTTTTTATGTGATCATGCATTGTGGCATCTGCGCCAATGCCCGCCTAAAAAAATAAGGGGGGGAAAAAAGTATTTGTTAAACCATAATAACCAACATATGAAAACTCATGACTAGTGAATTTAAACTACAAAACAAAGCACAGAAGCAAAAGCAAATCAATTTAAGTTTAAATATCCTATAAGATTTCCTCACCTTGTCCATACAATTTAGTAAATCAGTTTCACTTAAAAGTGATGGTGGCCTCGTAACTCCTGAATCAAGAGTCAATGTTGTTGGAATAAACTGCAATATTACCAGAAACAGAAAGTAGGAAATTAACATTTATTCCTCAATCTCTCTCTATATCATCATGGAGATGCATTAATGAACCAACCCAAACTAGTGCAATTCAAACAAAAGAGCATAAATTTGCTTCCTTATCTCAATTTCATCTTTTCTTTTTTCATCTCTTTTTCTATCTTAAATGAATTCTTCTAAATAAGAGAAGCATTTGTGCCAAACAATTGACATTTGGATAAAGGTATGGAAAATGTGTTCGACATGTATTTGGATATTCACCCAACAAGCTTGTTGAACAATTCGAGTTTTCCACATAGCTACGCATAAATCTCCCATATTATGCATGAAATGTTTTATGTCACCTTGTAAACCCCATTTTATCCTGTAAAATTAAAGAATAATAATGAGAAATATAAAAGATTTTTGTATCCTTGAGTCTTTGGACATAGTAATTAAATGAATCTGACATAAAACATACTCGTACTCAATGCTCATACCTGAGTCCACGTAACACAGCAAGCAGTTAACACATTCTAATGTATTTTTCAAAAGGCTTCCTCAAACTGATGCTTATAATATCCGACATTGTTAAGGAGTCAACCAAATCTTTCAATTTCTAGCAATAAACCTGATGCAGTAGGCACTACAGGAAAAATGAGATATAACCACGTTTTTTTTAGTGGCGTTTTTGACAAATGCCGTCCAATCTGTGAACAAATCTTTCAAATTCCCGATTATGCTATACTAGTTTATTGGCAGACGGTGGTATAACATGGTATGAAAGCCAGTGAAACGACACAGTTTTGTGTACGTGAAATAGGGGATTTTTTTTTCCCTTTTACAAAGGTAATTTTACCTATCTAGATATGCTTTTCGATTTCAGTCGATTGAATAGAGATGCGACTTGAGAGAGAGAGAGAGAGAGAGAGAGAGGGCTGGTTCTTTGATTTCCATCGATTTTTGGTGATTTTGATCTAGAAAATCTTGTTCTCCCTTCTGACCTGAGCGTGTATCTTCGAGATTGTTTGAATCCTTCTGATCTAAATCGATTTAGGGCTCAAGGTAAGGGTTTTCTAACCTAGATTTGCTAAGTTCACTCAAGATCTGTAAAATCTCATGGTTAAAACAACGATTTGGAATATATTTTTGGTTGATGTTTGTAGATTCACTTGCATTTTTTTTCCCAAATCTAGCTTATTTCTTGCATTTTTGCTTTTGTTTTGTGTTCTGTTTTTTCGTTTGTGGTCTCTTGCTCTTTCTAGTCCATGCAATGGGATACATGGAAAGTTTTTCTCATTCATGGCGAATGGATTTTGTCTAGGGTTTCGTGTGCAATGTCAATGTCTCCAGGCAATTAGCGGTTTAACGATCTAGAGACATAGATCTTATTCTCAGATTTGCTATCTCTCCGATCAGATCTGTAAATATCAGCTCTAAATTCTGTTTGTTACTTTCTTCTAGTTTTGATTGGATTTATGTTTCAGCCACAATACTATTTTGAGCAGGTGGAAATTGCGTTTTATGTTAGTTGTTGACATAGAATTTAATTTGTTGACATAGAATCAAATCCTCAAACCAAACACAGCCTCAAGGATTTTTAATTTTTATTTATGGTGATATTTAGAAATTCCTAATTCCTGAAGTTTAATGTTAAAAATTGTTGATTTTTTCTTTCTTTTTCTATATCCATCTCTTGACCGACCACTTGATCAAATTCTACTGGTCTATTTATTTTTTTTAGTGATTTTAGAGCTTTTCTTGTACATATATATTGCTTTGCCTTGCTTTTAATTCATACAAATGTTGAAGTGTGTGGAAATTATTAGATTGTTGGCAAATGTTGCAAACAATATCTTTCATGATTTGGAATTGTGTTGAATTTTAGTGTTTGAGGAAACGTGCAATAATAATCGTTTAGTATGGCGAAAGCTTATTGAGCTATGATGTAGCAAGCAAAGGACCATTTTTTATTGTTCACTACGCAATTAATTATTGAATGACATGAGTTGTGATGATTGTCAATTATCCATTGAATTTGAATGCTGAAACTTTTGACAAGGAGATAAAAAGCATGATTACAGATACTTTTTGTTCACAGGTTTTGAAAGTGTTCCCATATCCAATAACTATAACCACCGTTCAGTTTGCCGTTGGGACTATACTTGTTCTGTTCATGTGGACATCTAATCTCTACAGACGGCCAAAAATTAGTGGTGCACAGGTATTGTTATGTATGACGGGATGAATGTCTCATGTATTTAGGTTGCCATTATCATGATGACTCTGATTAATATGTCTTTTTCTATGACAGCTTGTAGCAATTCTCCCATTGGCAGTGGTGCACACCTCAGGCAACCTTTTCACAAACATGAGTCTTAGAAAAGTTGCTGTTTCATTCACACACAATTAAAGCCATGGAGCCCTTCTTCTCAGTTGTCCTCTCTGCTATGTTTTTAGGGGAGGTGTGCATTTCATATGTTTTCTTCCCATCTAGAAAAAAAAAAAAAAAGAATAGACAAATATCAATTTGTTAAAAATTAATTTGTAAAATTGAAGTTATGGGATTTTAAAATTTTTTAGATCAAAATAAATACAAGGGTAAATCTATCTAACAAAAAATGAATTGCCTTTTGGTTTTAAGAATTTAGCGTCTGGTAGTTTTACTTATACCATCAATTTATCTTCTTACCCCATTTTTCTAATTACACTTTTTACAAAATTGAAATTTTTAAATTTTTCTCTTACACTTTCCATAATTCTAAACCAATCCTCATTATTACTATTTTTTGTTGGAAAATTTTAGAAGTGAATGAGAATTGACTCTATTTGAATGATTTCTCTCCCTTGCCATCTGGTTGGAGTGACAAATTTTTTTTAATTATTATTTTATTATATAAAATAACAATGAAGTTAGTACACCCATTTAATTTGCCATCAATCATTTTTTTATATGTTTATGAAAATATTTGCTTGTAATTTCTTATTTTTGTTGTTGACTACTATTGGTGGTGCACACAACACAACATAGGAATGTTGTATGAAATAATTTAATGATTTGTAGAGTTCATAATGGCAAATGTTCATTATTGTGAAAGTTGTGTTTTAACTTTTAACCAATCTATTTCTTCTGTTGCAAGAATAGATACCCACCTTGTGGGTGGTTGCTTCTCTGTTACCAATTGTTGGTGGAGTGGGACTGGCGTCAATGACAGAGGCATCTTTTAATTGGTGAGAAAATACACACACATTTGCTTTAAATTGTTACTCACCTTTCTTGTTGTCAAAGACTCTGAAAAAGGGGGAAAAAAGTATATAGAGATCACACAGCATTCTGCCTGTAGGTTCTGTTTTACCCATGTCCAGTTTGGATTTTTCTATATATGATCAAAAGTAGTCGAAGTTGTTATCCCAGATTCTCATGCACAATCTCACTTATTTTTTTGTTTTTCTGTATGTGAAACAGGCCCGGGTTTTGGAGTGCAATGGCTTCTAATTTGACCAACCAATCTCGTAATGTCCTTAGCAAAAAGTTTATGGTCAAGAAAGAGGTATTCACTTATGGTTTCATTTCCTTGATGTCATGTACTACTAACTTGGTATAGTTTGTTCTTTTCCTCATTGATGAAATTTGATAGATCGAAGTGCTGTAAGGTGGAACAATTTGTTATTTTCTTTATTTACTTTGGGTACTTCTAGAAAGTTGGTAGCAACAAATAATTTGTCATGATTATATATATAGATAAGATTATTCTTGTTCCCCAGTGAAAAGGAAGATTACTGTGTGTGTGTCTGTCTCAGCATGTGTTCTATTATTTTATTTTATTTTCTCAAGTACGTAACTAATATTGATCTTTTGCAGGAATCTTTGGATAACATTACTCTCTTCTCAATTATAACAATTATGTCCTTCTTCTTGTTGACTCCATTTACTCTTTTCATGGAAGGAGTCAAGGTCACCCCTGCATACCTACAATCTGCTGTGAGTAAATCTAGAATGCTACGAATTGCTTCTATTCAGTTATCTATTTGTTCACATAAAATGCATCATTTTTGCGTTAGGTTTTCTGATTTTTTTTTTTTTGCTTGTCAGGGGTTGAATGTCAGACAGCTTTACATTAGATCTCTCCTTGCTGCACTCTGCTTCCATGCATATCAACAGGTAAGAAGTTCAACTTCAATGTTTCTTTCATTTTCGATTTTTAAATTCATATATTATATGTTCTTGACGTCTTTTTGTGCATAGTTTGTGATCAGTAATTGGTTCAAATTAAAGTTTGAAAATATTATACTTGTTGTACCTTGAACTTGACTGTAGAACCCATTGCATTGCATTATTAAACTGTAACATTTACTTTTAATATTTCTTTTCTGTACCAGAAAATTGAAAAAAAATAAAAGAAAAAAAACGAACTGTGTAGAAGAGTTAAGATGGTCTGAATGTTGACGAGTTCAATTGAACTGTGTAGAAGAGTTAAGATGCTCATGGAATCAATGTCGGAGATGTGAAGAAGCTTCAAGATGCTGGGATCTACACTTGCAATGGCTTGATGATGCACACGAAAAAGGTACATTGATTTTCAATTTCAATTTTGTGAAGTTTTTAAGTTTGGCATTTGCATTGATGTTCAGGTAGCCAAAACACGTTTGATGATTATTTGATGATTTTGTAGATCAACTGATACTCAATTGGAAGAAAACTTATATATATATATATATATATATGTATTTGAAATGTTTAGTTGAATTAATACCTGTTGAAAATTTGATCAAATTTTTTTGCTATGTTAAATTAAGTCTAATATTTGGACTTTCGAATTGGTCATGCTAACAAAAAAAAACTATATTTATTTGTTATTTATTTTAGATTTTCGATCATTTGATCAAATTATCCTAAAACCGAACTAATTGGTACATATATATGTACCAGATCTGGTGCAATGCATGTTAAACAAATCGAACAAATTGTACTTTGGTATTCAAAATCGTTCTCTCATGTAACTTTGTTTTCTGAATTGATTCAAACATTCTAATTTGCTATATTTTCTATTAAAGACGCTTCTTGATTGATAGTTTGATTTGAATTTCTAATGCGTTGTGTTTGTTTTTTATTGCTGTTTGTTATCTGCTTCATTAGTCATAGTTGATTTCTATATTGCTCTGTTTAATTCTGATTTCAAGCTCTGTATTGTTGTGCATTGCTTCTCTATGCTCTCTACCAGCAGGTTTGATTTTCTTTTAATTTGATCCTGTGTTGTATGATGTCAAATTTGTATCTCAATTTAGGTTTAATAGAGTATTTATTTTTGAATTCTTGAGATTTCTATCATTCTTATCTCTCTCAGTTGCTTGGGTTTAACCATTGATCGAATTCTAGGATTTTCAATTGACGATTTTGGATTACTCGTGAGAAAATGGCGAATCAAGTAGTATTATTAGTAATAGCAAATGCAAATGCTAATGAAGCTCACTCACTCACTCACTCACTCTCACACACACACTCTCTCTCTCTCTCTCTCTCTATATATATATATTTGGTCATATTCAACGGAGACCAACAGAGGCAGTAGTGAAGAGATGCGATGCTGTAACGGTAGATGGAAGTGTTAGGGGACGGGGTAGGCCTAGATTAACGTTGACTAGCGTTATAAATAGAGATATGAATCTACTTAATTTGACTAATGAAATGGCCTTTGATAGGGCCGCGTGGAGAAGAAGGATTCATGTAGCCGACCCCATTTGATGGGACTTAAGGCTTCGTTTGGTTTGGTTTGGTTTATGTAATTTAGGACCACTTTGGTGTGCCCCACATACACCTGCATGTACTTCTGCCATTACTTCTTGAATACGCTCATTGGCTATACACCGAATGTACATTCCATCCAAAGACCTTTTGTATAACCCATCTTTCCACAAGACGAATTTGGTAGCCCTACGTCTCACTTCAATTCTTTTTACTTTATCTTCAAGTAGCCTACCATGTTGAAGGTAAGCTATGAATGGTTCCCGCCAATCCTCTTCGCTTTCTCCTTTCATGGTGACGACCAAGATTGGAACCAAGTCAGAAACTTCTTTTAAAGGTTGTAACACCCTTCTTTTACCTACTGTGATAGTAATTGTTTTGTTATCTGGTAGGGTGACTAATGCACCCAAACTTGCAAGTGAATCAACTCGAGCATTTGTTCTTCTCTTCACGTGGAAAATATGTGTTTTCCTGAATTGTGAAAGCAATTGATCAACCATTTCATGATACAGGATGAGACTTGTTTTCTTAACAATGTATTCTCCACGGAGTTGTTTTACCACTAGTTCTGAACCTCCATAAATTGAGAGTTCTTCAATAGGAATTTGTAATGCCAATTCTAATCCAACAATTACAGCTTCATATTCTGCCTCATTATTGGAGCATCCTTCACTTAAGGCGAAAGAATGGGTGATTATAGCATTGTCTGGAGTCACAAACACAATTCCAATTCCAGCTTTATTGTTTTTAGGATTTTCTTGCTTTTTGCCATCTGGACTCCTTGAAGCTCCATCAAAATACATCTCCCATCCTTTCTGAATTTCTACTTGCATAACCTCTTCATCTGGTAAATCAGTTACTAGAGGTGAGTCATCAGGTATAGGATGTGCTGCCAAAAAATCTGCTAGAGCCTGCCCCTTTACAGCTCTTTGGGGAACATATTCAATTGCGAATTGTTGGAGAATTACAGCCCACTTTGCAGTTTTCCCTGAAAGTATGGGCCGTGAAAGTATATATTTCAAGGGGTCTGCTCTTGATATCAACTTGACTTCGTGTTCCAAGACATAGTGCTTTAGTTTTTGCAAGGCGAACACCAAGGCAAGACATGTCTTTTCGATAAGGGAGTAATTGACCTCTGCCCCAACCAAAGTACGACTCAAGTAATACAAGGCATTTTCTTTCCCATGCTCATTATGTTGTGCCAACAATGCCCCTAACGAACCATCCAAGGCTGTTATGTACAACAAAAGTGGTTTTCCTTTTATTGGGCTCATAAGTACTGGAGGCTTCAAAAGATACTCCTTAATACTATTAAAAGCATTTTGGCATTGCTGATCCCATTCAAATGGAACACCCTTTTTCATCAATCTTGAGAACGGCAAACATCGACCAGCCAAGTTAGAAATAAATCTTCTGATATAGGCCAATCTCCCTTGTAGCCCCTTCAATTCCCTTAAATTTCGTGGAGGAGGCATTTCGGCAATAGCTTTAATCTTGGTAGGGTCAATTTCAATCCCTTTGTTTCGAACCACAAACCCAAGAAATTTTCCTGATGAAACTCCAAATGCACATTTTAGTGGGTTCATCTTGAGTTTGTACCTCCTCAAACGTTCGAAGATTTTTCTCAAATCTTCCACATGGTTTTCCTTTTCCTTTTCCTTTGTCTTGACGACGAGATCATCAACATAGCATTCGATGGTGTCATGGAGCATATCACCAAAAATTATAATCATCGCCCTTTGATACGTGGCCCCAGCATTTTTCAGGCCAAAAGGCATTACCTTATAGCAAAAGACTCCTTTCGGAGTCTTGAATGCAGTCATTTCTTCATCTTTAGGTGCCATTCGGATTTGATTGTATCCTGAGTATCCATCCATAAAAGACAAGGTTTCATACCCAGTAGTTGCATCTACAAGAAGTTTAGTGATGGGCAAAGGAAAGTCATCTTTAGGACAAGCCTCATTGAGATCACGAAAATCAATGCAAACCCTGATTTGACCATTCTTTTTCTTGACTGGCACTATGTTTGCTAGCCAGGTTGGATATTTGACTTCTCTGATGAATCCTGCATTGATAAGCTTGTCGACTTCGGCTTCAATTTGGGCTGTAAGCTCTGGTCGAGTTCGCCTTTGAGGCTGTTTAACTGGCCGTTTCTCAGGGTGAATTGCAAGCTTATGGACTGCAATCTCTGGATTAAGACCAGGCATCTCACTGTAGTTCCATGCAAATATGTCACGATACTCCCTTAAAAAGGAAATATATTGCCGAGCTTCTTCTTCCTTTAAATTTGCACTAATGAAGGTTGGTTTGTTTTCTCCTTCATCACCCAGATTTATTTCACGAAGGTCATCCACGATGGCTTGGCCTCCTGCTTCAAATTCTGTTGGTGCAGGTTGAGCTTCATCTTGGTCAACATCTTCCAATACATCTTGAGTGATAATCATGTTTACTGGAAATTTTTCCTCATTCCCCTGATAGCCTAACCCCTCTGTCCTAGCGGCGATAATACCGCCTTGCTGGATAGCCTGCCTCTGTGAAGGTGTTAATGCAAAGTCAAAGGGTGTCATTGTTCCTGGTAGTTTTTCAGGATCTAAACCAACTTTTACCAACATCTGTGTGATTTCTGCACTGAAGGTAGGCTTCTCAAAACTCGAGATGTTTTCTTCTGGCATTTGTTCAACTTTCACTTTCTGTTCAACATCTCCAAGTGAGTGGAATATGATGGGTTTCGACCCTTTTCCTTTAGAAGGGACCACAATTTTATTATATTTCTCCACATAAGTGCATTCTGTCTTTCCTTAATGGCAACGTGAACTCACCCTTGAGATCCAAAATTGGATTTATTGGGCTAAAGCCTTTGCCCCCAATTTCCTTTCGGACTTTGGCACATATCGAAAAGTTTTTTTTGTTGAAACTGGAATAGACTCTAGAGCGTCTTTGACATTCGGAGTATCTTTAGACTTCTTCACATCTTTTCCCCTTCTTTGTGAAGTCTTTGTATAGAAGCGAGCATCAGCGTAGTAGGCCTCTACTTCTCCAAACGGATCATTGTCAGCCACAATTGTCCCCTCTTTTTTAGGTGAAGGCAATGGGTACTTAATACATTGGTGATAAGTTGATGGCACTGCATGATGATTATGCATCCATGGTCTCCCAAGCAAAGCATTGTAAGAGGTGTCTACATCAATGACCAAGAACTCAGTGCTTTCTTCAATATCCCCAAACTTGGTTCGCAATTCAATCTTCCCCATTGGGCGTTGTTCATTCTGATTAAATCCTTGAATGACCAAACGACTTGGGCGAAGTTGTGAAATTCGAACCCCTAATAAGTTTAAGGCCCTCCGAGGCAGGAGGTTTACCGCAGATCCTCCATCAACCAGAATTCGAGAAATTTTCACATCGTGGATAAGCCCAGTGAT